CAGGCAGCGGCGGCATTGGTGCGGCCGGGCCGCGGGGAAACGCCTCCTCTGGGGGCGGGGCCCAGAGAGCCGCTGTCAGAGCGCCCGCCTCACTCACGGGTCCCCGCCCGCCCGCACACACTGGGGATTTAAAGGGGCCGCAGCGTACCTTCGCCCAGAGGTCTGCAGGCCTCAGGGCGCTGTTTCCAGCCCACAGGCTTTCCAGGGCGAGGCAAATGAAAGACCAACTAGGAAAACTCCACCTCGGAGTGGACGGACCTCTGTTTTGGCAGCAATACAGGTAATGTTCCAGAGACAAAGGAGACGACCAGTTCTCCAGGAGTGAAAAATATTACTGCAGGTACAGCCAAAGCATCAGGGTAAATATATAGCCCCCATTATGTAAGCTGCTGATTTTATTAATCACTCTCAGACTTGAGCAGTGTTTTAAATGGCAACTCAGAGGCTCCAAAATGAAAAACAAATACCGACAGCCTGTAATACTTCAATGTCTCACCAACTTCCTTCTCTACAACACGAGGAATCCTACACAATGATATAAGATGGGAAGAAGGGAACAGGAGATGAAATAGGAAAATAACCTTCCCTTTCCTCTAAGTAAATGTGACCTTTGGCAAGAGTCACTACAAGTCTATGTAGGTAAAGAAATCTTGCATATAAATACAACTGCAACACATAGGCATCTAATAGGAAGACTCTTGAGGAAATTATAGGAGAAACTGTATTAATACGTCAGGGAGTTAAGTCGGGATTCTCTGAGATCTCCAAAGCCTATCAATGCATCTTAACTTTCTTTTCACAGGAGATTCTCCTCAATCTCGGCTTAGGAGGTTTGGCTGCATTTTGTGTCTCGGCATGCCAATGGCAAAGGCTTTTTAAGCCTGTTTGTCTCCATTTACTTTAGACAAATAAAGACACATTTGCTAAAGCCTTAGGCCATCATCAGACAAGGACAGAAATTTGGAGAGGCTAAAGACCATTTATAAGTAACCTAACGCCTCTGATCCCAAACAGGATTCAAGTAGAAATTAAGACACCAAATACAGGAATGAAAGACTGCTTTACTAGGCAACAGACCCAGGTTTATCCTTATTCTAGTCCTAGCAAATTCCAGGCTACAGTTGTGAAGAGAAACGAAGATTCTGAAGTGCCAAGACTATCTCCCTCTACAGTACATTTAACTGTGAATTAGGTAATTAAGGCTTTCTTTCATTATATCCCCATTAAGCTTCACATTGTTCTGAGGGTTATGGTTTGCAGATCAGCCTTTCTTATCAGATTGTGAGTGCCTCAAGGGCAAGGTCTGGAATGTATCTTAATTATCTTTTTCTCCCAGTGTGTGATACAAAATAAGTGCTCAATAAACAGTTATCACTAAAGATCTGAGGATGCTTGCTGTTATAGAACATTTCCGTGACCCAGAGTCCCAATAAGTGAAATCAGCACAGTAGACTGAGTGTCAGTGTGCACGTTCACTCACAAAGGGACAATACTCAGGGTGGAGCTTAATAGTGAATTAACAACCAGAGCGACCTGAGTACGGCAGCATGCAACTGCAACCCCTGCTACTCAGGACGCTGAGGCAGGAAAACCAGTTTGCTGCCCACCCGGGGCAACACGGTGAGACCTTAAAAACACGAGAGCATGGATGAAAATGCATTAACTAAGAACCCGGTGTCTCTTAAAAAGCGAGAGAGACACCACTGATTGTACATCTCAGTCTCAGACATCATGCCCAAGATTATTATAGGGACTACTGCCTTTAGTCCCAAATGCACACACATTTCATATGCATATTCTGAATAACTATTGGATTTCTTACCAAAGGTCACAGTCCACACACAGCCCATCTTATTTCGGTTAATGCTTCCTTTCTCTTACTATAGCATGAATCAACTAAACTGGACATGTAAGCCTTCGCAACTCACCAAATTACTAGGCAGTAGTATTCTCCCTAACAAGGCAAAGTACAAACTGCTTAGGAAATCATTTAATAAATATTCCATATTCATATAAGAATAAAATTAAATAAAAACTGGGGAAACATTATTTATATGTTAGAAGTTGGCATTTCTAGGGCTTTTTAAAAAAGCTTTCTTCACTGTAGTGTTTTTTTTTAAGAACTGTTTTATTAAAACAATTCACACAGTGAGAGAGAGGAAAGTGAGAGAGGAAGCCACCAGGTCAGGGACTCAAATGGTTGTTGCTCATATGAGAGTCCATGTGGGAGTCCAGTGCCCCTACACACCATGCCACCTGCTGGCTCCAACTGTAGTATATTTTTCTGCCACAAATTAAGGAAAAATATCTAGTGAGGGACCAGCAGATGGCATAATGGTTACATCGCTTGACTCCCATGTGGCCAGTCGCGGTTAGAGTCCCAGGCCCAGCAGCTTAAAACTCACTCCAGGCATACGTGCGAGCGTGCCCAAAATTCCAAGAGGAGAATGAAGGAAAACAGATTGTGGCGTGGCCATTCCCTGAGGGGTGATTTCTGCCTCTCTTTCTGCCTCCTATCTCTCTCTGTTTCTTTGGCAAGCAAACGCACCCTATAGAAAAAAAAATCTCTAAAAATAAATAACGTACAGAAATATTTATTGTCTACCTTATCTGCCACATTCCTTTACAAAGTAGAGGGCAGCAGGTGGCAAGGTGGTTAAGGTGCTGATTGTCACAGTTGGAGTCCTGGATACAGCAGCTTTAAAAAAAAATCACATGGGTAGTGGTGGGGGGAGAAGATGGTGTAATGGTTACATCACTGGACTTTCACATAGTTAACTGCAGTTTGAGTCCCAGACCCGGTGGCTTAAAACTAATGCTGGCAGTACGTTTGTGCCTGCCCAAGATCCCAAGAGGAGAATGGAGGAGAAGGGATAGCGATGTGGCTATCCCATCCCCCCTTAGGGGTAATTTCTCACTTTCTGTCTCTCTGGCAAGTACACATGCCCTATAGCAAAAATCTTAGAAAAATAAAAATAAAATCACATGGAGTACACGTGTGTGCATGCCCAAAATCCAGAGAAGAGGGTGGATTGCAGTATGGCTAACTCCCTCAAGAGTGATTTCTCACTTTCACTCTCTCCGTCTCTGTCTCTCTCCAGGAGTACCCAGGCCTTGTGGCAAAAACCTTCAAAAAAAAGAAAAGAAAAACCTAAAAAGCAAATGTAGGGCTGCCAGTGGCATGGTGGTCGGGATGTGTCCCAAATGGCCAATTGTGAGGTTCTGTACTGACCCCAGGGCTTGAGGAACATGCCTGGCATGTGTGCGCCCGGAGTCCTAAAGGGAGAAGTGGAGGTAAGGAATGGTGGCATGACCACCTCCCTTGTGGGATGCTTTCTCACTTTCCCTCTCTATCTCTCTGACAAGCGCACATGCCCTCCAGCAAAATTAAAAGGGGGGGGGGGATAACGTACAGCCCCCTCCAGCTGCTCTACCTCCCGATTGTTTCCGAGTGGAAAATGCATTAACTAAGAACCAGACAGGGAAATGTGACATTCCCAAGCTAAGCGCTATTAAATTACAGGAAAGTTCACTCTGTTAGTATACAACTCTGTAGATTTAGAAAACATGTAGCCATGTACCCATAACATCAATCAAGAAGATCTCCTTCAGCCTAAAAAAGTCCCTGTGTCCTTTGGAGTCAACTCCTCTCCTTACTCCCAGGAACCACAGATTAGTACTCTATTCCTATGGTTTTGATTTTTCCACAGCGTTAGGGCCACAGCATCATACAGTATGAAGTCTGTTGAGCCTGGCTTCTTTCGTTTACTATAATAAAAGTGAGAGCATCCATGCTCTCGTACATAACAGTACAGGAGTTTATTCTTTTTCACCGCTGAGTAGTATTGCGCTGTATGATATAAGCACGTTTTGTTCGTTCATATACTAGTTGAAGGACTTGTGGGTTATTTCCACTTTTTTCCCCCCAGGTTTTTGTCATAGAGCATGTGCGCTCAATGGAGGGAGACACAGAGGGAACATGAGAAATCAACCTCCTGGGGAGGATGGCCACACAGCAATCCCTTCTTCATTTTCTCAGAATTTGGGGTATGCATACACATGCCCAGCATGATTTTTTTCTTATTTTTTTTAAAAAAGAATCATTTTATTTAACTTTATTCTTTTTTTAAAATGTGACCAGAGAAGAAGAAAGAGAAAGGAAGAAATAGGGAAAGTGAGAAAGCAAGCTGCTAGGTCTAGGACTTGAACCATGGTTGGCCATGTGGGAGTTAACCACCATGCCACCCGCCAGCCCCCACTGGCATGATTTTCAACTGCCAGGTCTGGAACTCAAACTGCAGTTGGCCATATGGGAGTCTAGCATCGTTTAGTTGTTTTTACAATTATTTACTCTTATTTATTAATTAGTATCATCATCATCATTATTATTATTCATTTGGACAAGAGACACAGAGAGAGGGAAGGTGAGTGAGAAAGCAAGCTGCCAGGTCCAGGACTTGAACCACGGTTGATCATGTGGAAGTCCAGTACCCCAACCACCGTGCTATTTGCTGGCCCCAAGGAGTCCAGCATCTTAACCACCATGCCATCTGCTAGCCCATTTTTACTTTTATAAGTGATTATGAAAATGCCATAAGCCTTCTCATACAGGTTTTTGTATAAACATAAGTTTTGATTTCTCTCAGGCACATACCCAGGAGTGGGAACTGTTGAGCGGTAAGGCGTGTATTTAATAAGTAACTGCCAGCTGTTTTCTAAAGTGGTTGTAGGAATCATTTTGCACCCACTTGCCCTCTAGCAAGGTAAGAGAGTTCAAGTGTAACTGGATTATTAGCACTCATTTCCAGTATGAATCTATTTATACCTAGGAATTCTGTAATTTAGTGTTAATGGTTTGTAATGGACTCTTCTAC